GTAGGATCGTGACCCTTAAGAATAGAGTACGCTCTTATAAAAATCTATAGAAGCTTTACACTTAAACATTAGAGGGTGAGTTTGCAAAGTAGATTATAAATTACAAAGAAAGAATGGCAATCTCAGAAAATAAATATCACAAACACAAGTATGTATACTGGTTCCACCTCCCCGGTGTACATCCAGTCCCCAAGCAAATCCCGCTTGAGAGTTTTCACTATGATTTTGAAACCTTACAAAATCAAAAGCAAACCTGACTAATTTACAAGACCATGTAAATTGCAACACTAATTGACAAGACCATGCTAATTGCCACCCAATCTCTAAACCAAGAGATCAACCCTCTCAAACCCAAGAGAAATCCTTTTTGAAGCAAGAACACAATTGATCCTATAAGCCTTGAATGTATAGTGAAGTGCTGCAGTGGTTTAGGATTCTTTTAACTCTCTGAATATTGCCTATACAATCTCTAAGAATGATTAAAACCAAGGCAATATCAGAAACTCTCTTTTTCTAAACACTTAGCATGAAAATCTGGAAAATTAGAGAGTGAATATGTACAAAATGTTTGATCTTGCAAGTGCAAAACTTGGTACTTGTTTTCTGATGTTTAAACCTATTTATAACCTTTGAAATGACATAATTTTAAACCCAATTAACGTCCACAAAACGGCTATAAACAGTCACTTATTTAAAACCTAAAATCTAGAAAAACTGCATCTGTAGTCGACTACAAGTCATAGTAGTCGACTACACTGAGTCTAAACAGACTCTGTGAAGTCAGAAAATTGCTTAGTAGTCGACTACAAGGCATAGTAGTCGACTACACTGTAAACTCAGATTCTGGAATTTTTCTTTTTTGTATTTTGACTGTAACTTTATCATCCGATATCGGAATGAGCTGATTTAAGATTTGTTTGAAAGCTCTTGAAGAGACCTACAACTTTGATCTTTTGAGTTTTCCAGATTTTAATTGTTTTGGGGTATAAATAAAATGTTTTAAGACTCACTCAATATTTATAAACTCTAATGGCTAACATAGGGGATTTCTATTGTTAACCAACACACTAAGCACGTGTTAGTGTGTTCTAATACTATGTGTGTGCATGTGTGTGAGTGATCAAGGCTTGTATAAATTTCTAAGTAAAGAAAATATAAAATTATATTTTGATAATAAAGTATATCTTCTTCTTTGCTTCATTTTGCCTTGAACTCATCTATGTTTTGAGTATCTCTTTGAATATAATTGTTGATATAGCTCTGATACTGCAAAATAAATGTTAGCATATAATACACACAACATATAATATTTGTTATCATTAAAATAAACTAATCTTGGGTTCAAGATTCCTAACAATGCTGTCTCCCAGCTGAGGTATTCTCAGCTGATTGGATCTCTTCTTTACATATCCAACCGGACCAGACCCGATATAGCCTATGCTGTAGGGAGACTGGGCCGGTATACTAGCAACCCTAGCAAAGATCATTGGTCTGCCTTAGAAAGAGTATTCAAATATCTAAAAGGCACAATTGACTATTGCTTGACTTACACTGGTTACCCTGATGCTATAGAAGGGTATAGTGACACTAACTAGGTCACGGATTCGAACAGTATAAAGTCTACATCTGGATATGTATTTCTTTTTGGTGGTGCAGCTGTATCCTAGAAATCTTGTAAGCAAACTGTAATTGCCAGGAGCATCATGGAGTCTGAATTGATTGCTCTTGATACTACTTGCACAGAAACCGAATGGTTAAAAGATCTTCTCTCTGAACTTCCTTTGGTCCCTAAACCATCTCCTCCTATTTCCATTCACTCTGATTCTAGATCTACCATAGAGCTTCTAAAGCAAGTACATGTAAATAAAAAACATAACAGACATATTCAAATAAGATATAAGTCTGTACAACGCCTGTTAGGCAAAGTTGTGATCTTGGACTTTGTAAAGTCTGAGAAAAATCTTGCTGAGCCTTTGACTAAGGGATTATCTAGGAGTGTGGTTCTGGATTCATCGAGAGAGATGAGGTTAAGCCCATAAATAAGGTCACTGACAGCGGCAACCCAACCCTTATTTGGAGACGTAGTCCCAATGTCGGTTCAATGTGGTAGAAACAAGCTGGACAAGTGACTATCGTGTGGAGCATTGACCTAGATATATTTATATATCATTATGTAGCATTTGCTACTACCCATTCTCTATGATGACGATGCTCTTATGATACAGTTGGCTAGGCTGAGTTTTATTCTTAATAAGTCCAACGTGTGTATTATTGGGGGTATTAAATAAATAGCTGTAGTACCCTTTGAGGACTTACCTACGTGAGAGGAACCGTGATGGCCGCGGTTGGGGGGGACAGGGCTGACCCCTAGAAACTCTCATGAGTCGGTTTTTTGTGAGCATGGCCTTTAACGCTCAACCCGCTTAGCTCAATAGATGAAAACGTATTGTGTGTGTTTTTATCAATACCTGACTCAGGTGGCGATGAACTCACTAAGGAAAGGTTCAAAGTCGAAAGCTACCTCTCCCGAATTCACGATACGAAAGGTTACCCAACCTATATTTATTTTGTGATTTATTGATTTATTAATTTTGAATTTTCAGTCAATATTGCCTTTGGGGGGGGGGGTTGTTGGATGTTTTGTTCATGACAATGTAATTTTGCCTTTGTTAATAGTCTCACATTAGAAAATGAGATGAATAGTATAGGGTATATAATGGTTCTCTCCTTATTAGGATTTAAATAGTGTTTTGGATTTTGTGGGCTTTGCATATCTATCTCACACACGCGCGCGCGCGCGCACGCCCGCCACGCCTCGTCTCGCTCGCACGCGCGCGCCACGCCGCACCGCACACGTACACATTTTTTGCTTCTCAAGCTTTTATTTTTGCACGTTTTACACATTTTGTAACGGCTGCATGCAGCTAACGGAAGCAAGATTTGTACGTAATGGTCCATTGGATTCAGCGGGGGTTATACTTCTCCTCACCTATATAAGCAGGCGTGGAGCTCATTCAGAGACACACCAACGAAGAGAAGAACAACTTCTAAGCTCTCTTCTTTCTCTACTCTCATTTCTCCAAGAAATTTCTGCTACATATTTACATTTATATTTTGGGCAACCGTTTTTGTCTGAGCATAAGCTCTATGACTCACGCCCGAGTATAGAGGTCGGCCGATTCCTGAGGTTTTTACCGCTAGTGGAGAGGGGGCAGATTGCGCCAGAGCGATAGGCGAGTCCTCAATCTTCTCGGGCAGTGACATCACGACTGCTCCCGATCAGGCCTGAATTTTCTAACTCTTTAATTTGGATTTTATATTATTATATTCCTGTTTTGACAGCAGAACCCACATGTATTCCAGCAACAATTTCCCTCCTCTCCCGACGTTGGCATCAGTCATTCTCTCTTCTGCTTCTTTTTTTCTCCTTAAAATAAAAGCTAAACAATACTTACATACCATATTGTTTTCATCTACTTTTCACTTATATACCCTCACTTATGTTTGGTAGTAAGAAAATGCCCTAAAGTTTTTCAAACTTACGCTGATATACCCTCACTTGTTTCTGATAGCACTTATATAACCTAAGATTATTAAAACTTGCACTTAAATACCCTAAAGTTTTTAAACTAATACTTATATACCCTAAAATTTTAAAAACATACACTTAAATACCATCAAGTTTGCATAACTGAGGGTATTTATGTGCAAGAACTTTAGAGTATTTAAGTGTCAGTTGTAAGTACAAGTTTAAAAACTTTAGGGTACTTAAGTGCCGCTGAAAAAAGTAAGGGTATATAAGTGCATGTTTAAAGAAGTTTAGGGGATTTTTTTTCTTATTATGATATACAAGTTGGGGTATATAAGTGAAAAGTAGTTGAAACAATATGGTATATAAGTGCTATTTAGCCAAAATTTCATATGTATACCCTCCAAATTATAGATATTTCTAAGTTTGCCCCCCAAATCATTATAATTTTAGATCTGGCCTTCAAATTGTTGTTTTCCCTTAAAATTATCCTCAATATGATTTTTATTAAAAATTTAACAACCTTTTAAAATAGAATTACCTTGATATCCACGTTTGAAAGGTTCGAGAAGACAGAACCATCGGCCTCCCAAAATCCTCAATACTTTTAAATACATGTTCACACTTGTTACTGTTTCTCGCGCACCATGAAATGAAATCGCCTCAATTGCTGAAAACAAAGTGGTTTATGCTGTTCGTAAGATATAACCATCCACGAGTCTTGTTCAAATCCGATGTTTCTTCTAAATGCAAAGTCTATTGAGGACGTATCTTTAGTGATTCATCTATTTAATTCTCATATGTTGAGATGATTAATAAGTGAGTAAGATAAGAAAGAGTGATGAGTTTAAATAAGAGTTTGGGTCAATACCTGATGTTTTTGGGTTAAAATTGATTCCTAATTTCTGTTTAAGACCCATAAGCTCTAGATTGAGCCCGACTTCTCTCCCAACGTCATCAAGCAGTCCGCTATAGTTGGATGTACCTCTCTAGTGCTATAGATCACAATGTGATGTTGATGTCAGCCATTGCCTCTCAGTTGAGGAGTCTAAAGCAATGGTTCCACAAAACTTTACTCTTGAACAAAAAACTCATGCCCTCAATATTTCATTTTATGCCCTCTTTGCTAGCCTAAAATCCAGAGAATGATACAAAGAGTATTTTTCCACTCTAGGACAGAGACGGGGCCAAAAGTTTGGTTTGAGAGGAAGAATTAAGATGCATGATTAATTGTTATCAACAACCTTTAATTTAATCTTTCTAATTAGGGGGTAGATTAGGTATCTCTAATTATTTAAGAGAATATTCTAAGTAAACTCCCTGTCATTTACATTAGAGGGTAAATTCGAGGGAAAGAAACAAATTGAAGGGTAAATCTAAACTTATAATAATATGGAGGTTAAGAATAAAAATACCTATAATGTGGAGGGTATAGGTCTAATAAGCCCAACTTAAAAATAGAAGGGACAGAAAGAGGGTGGAGCAGAAATTGGAGCTTTTCTTGAGAGAGAAAAAAACTAGAGAGAGAAAGACCGGCGAGCCTCCTCCAAAAGCGAGAGAGACCGCCTTGTTCTCCGCGGCATTTCATCAACCACCTTGGGATTCTTTGAGGATTTTGGGATTGGGTAACCGCCGACGATGGGCTTTTTCATGAAGAGATTGCAAGAGAAGTCCATTTCTTTCAGTTAAGGGAAAGGGGGAAATGAGGCTCAGATGGAGCCTCTTGTGGGTTTCCTTGGTTTTTCTGCTTCTATTCGATCACTGCTTGTCAATTGACGGTGAAGGTATCATAATGTTCTCTTATTGGAATTTTTATCGAAATTTTCAAATATTTTGAATTCAATTGTAATGCAATTTTTTAATTCAATTTCAGACAATGTTGCCTACTAGTTTCTGAAATTTTCATATAGACAAATGGGTATTTTGTTATATAGCTCTTTGTCATATAGGAATCATATATTTATATTTTCTTTTTATTTCTTTGAAGTAATAATTTTGGTGAAAAAAATGCGGCGTGAGAAAGGAAATGCTATTTGACATTCCATGAATGCTTGTCACTTAACGATGAAGGTACCACAATGTTCTATAATTTCATAAAAAATAATACATACACTGCAAATTATGTTTCTATTTACATACTTGTATTAAATTTTACCTCTTGGATGAATTTTCAATCGTGGAACTTGTGATTCATACATATAGCCATATTTTATTATATCGCTCTTCATTGTCTACAGGCATCGTAAATTCATATTACTGTTTCATTTCTTTTGAGTAAAAGTTTGTGATGAAGATAATGTGGAATACGAAAGGAAACTGTCAAGTTCTTGAACTTTTACATGCTGTTTGAAATTAACGCTTCTAATCCATTAATACTAGTGAACTTTTGAAGTTATCTCAACCCATCTGAGGAGATTTTATGTAAAACTAGATGATTATTTTCTTGTAAAGCACATGTATGACATTTTTTTATCCTAATATATTTTATTTTATGTTCATGAATAGAATTATTGGACTTCCGATCAAAGGTGGCTTTTGATTCTCATGATGCCTACAAAAATTGGATTTACAAGGACAATAATCCATGTGTTTGGTCTGGTGTTCATTGTGCTGACGGTAATGTGAAGACTCACTAGTTGGTGCACTTAGTTTGTAACTATAGCAAAATATATTTAGGTTTGGAGTTAATTACGGATGTACTCTCTGTACCATACGGGTGTCGCGAGCTATAACCACTGTTCTATTTTATTAGTACACACCCCGTCACAATGCCAATGCTACTTTTCCATTAGTTTTAAACTCCTGCTGGAATCAGGTGATGGAAAGCAGTGGACATTAGGGAACATTCAATGTAATACTTGCAAGAGCTTTAAAACTAGCGAAAAGGCAGCATCGTCATCATGACCAAGGGGTCTATGTGTAAATAAATTAGTGTTAATTGCAGATAGACCCCCTACACTATCGCCAACTTGAACTTCATGTAGTTCTATTGTTGCAGATAGAACCTTTGAAAGAGTTCTATTGTTGAAGATAGACCCCACCTGAGTGAAATCTACTGTTGCACGTAGAACCCATGAAAAGGGTTAAAAAAAATCACCCGCAGTCCATCTGCAACAATAGAACTACAGGACTAGTAAGTTGAATTTGTGATACTACGGGGGGTCTATCCGCAATTAACCCAATAAATTACTTCATGGGTGATAAGTAGCTAAACCTACGGGTACTATGAGGGATGCATCTTTAACCTCAGGTTTACGATGATTATATCTTCTCTTGTCTATTGCAGGGTTCCCTCAGCTATACACGGAGCAAGAAGCACAGCTTGCTATGAATTCCCCACGTCGGAAGCTGCTTCAAGAATCTAGTAATCTCCCCGCTGCTCCAGTAAGCAGTTCCCCTCCTCAAGAAGCTGTAGATGTCCCATCTATTGGGAGCGGAGCATTTCCTGCAGTACCAAATTCAGGTGGCGAGAAATCTCCCCCAGAAGTTCCGACTACAGAATCTCCTTCCCCAGCAAAGGAAAATCAAGATTCACCAAAAGATAAATCCGATGGAGTAATCAAGATAGTAATTATCGCACTGTCAGTTATTGCTATACTTGGTATCATTATTTTAGGTGTTGCTATGTTGTGCCGGCACAAGGGTCCAGTAGCTATAGTTGCCAGGAATACTGGATTAAGTGGGCAGTTGAAGAAGGCGTTTGTAGCAGGTACTTGCATTTGGTTGCATTTCTTGAAATTGTATTTGTTAAATTGTGTAGTATGTTGGTACAGATTTATTAGAATACTCAAATATCATATCCTGATCATTCATCATATAGGTAGACTTCAAGAAAGATGGTGGTAGTATCATAGTTAGGAGAAAGATAATGTAGTTTGGTTACAAGAAATTAAATTAGTAGGTGAAAAATGTCGAGATATTGAGAATATTGGATATAAACTTCATCTAGGATTGTTTCTTAGTCCTTATCTTTTAGCAATACTGATCCACTGACTTATTAGATACATTCAAGACAAAATCCTATGGTGTATGTTATTCAGTGTGAAATAGTATTAGTAAATTGACTAGGAAGGGGATACTTTTGAACTGGGAAAAGGGAAATAAGTTCACAAATCAAAAAGATGTAGCACTTATTGAGGATAAATTGAGAGAGAATAAGTTCAAATGCTTTCGTCGTGTTCAACAGAAACCACCAAATTCACCGGTTAGGAAAAATGATAGGGTTGTAATTAATAAAGCAAAGAGGGTTAAATTTAGTCCTAAGAGAACTTGGTTGAAGCAATCATGAATGACCTAAACGAAATTGAATGGAATGATTAGGTTAATGTTGCCAAACCCAAAAAAAATGGCATAAAGGCTTTGTCGTTGCTGTCATACTCTTCATTCTTGTGTCAACTTTTAGATATCTTTGATGGGATGCTCCACCCTTCGATCACATAAATGAAGGTCATGTCATGTTATATTCTATGGTCTATCCTGTTTCTATTTTAAACCTAACTCTATTCCTTAAACATATATTTGAACTTTTTAGAGGAACGTACAACGTAGAGTACTCATCACTTAGTTTCCCACACTTTACTGATATTTAATCATATAAATTGGACTATGTCATGCATATAATTATAGGTCAGTTCAGGTGAAGTGCTTCTCAGGTATTATGATAATACTGAATGTCCATGAAGTTGAAAGGAACATTATAAAAATTATCAGTAATACCAACCATGCTTTAAGAGATCCCTCTTCTTTTTTTCTTTAACTTGAGGTCCTTGTCCATTTTATTGATCAGGTACTTTTTGAAGTTTCATTTTAGACTTCAATCCTCTTCTCTTTTTTCATTTTTTGTCTAATTCTTGGTCATGTTGCATTGTGGAGCTTGCATGTCATTTCAAAATGAAGCCATTACATTCCAATATTCTTTACAAAGCACCCCAACACAAAAGCTAGGTCTTCTATTTGTGTGTCCTTTTACACATTTTGCCCTGTGTGTATCTTATGCATGGAGTTACTGCTAAAAGTCTGATGGTATGACTGGTAGTCAGTCTTCAAAGGGAGGTTGGTGGATTAGAGGAAGCATCAAGGAGAAAAGGCAAGGTTCATAGATTCAAGGTACACGTGGATTGCTAAAAAAGAAAAGAAAATCACATTTGGAGATTAATGTTGCTGTCAAGTATTTAAGGTGATAATGTTGATTGTCAAGTATTCGAGGAGATAACATTGATTGCCAAGTATTTGAAGAGATAAGACATTACTGTTGATTGCTAATTATTTTGAAGATTAACTAATTCATGATGATGTAGAGAAGATATACAATTTTTTAACCTATACTAGTATTCTGTTGTACATGATGCGTGCATAACAAAATATACACGTGTGTAAAAAATAAATGTTATTAAAACATTATATATATATATATATATATATATATATATATATATATATATATATATATATATGATATATGAGAAAAAATGGTTATGCTTGGTACAGCACAAGTTTTTGTGCCTGGTAGTGAGGCAGAGCATATTCTCCTCCGCTCATTGAAATCGGGCGCCCAATTTCACATGGGTTGGGGAGTGGTTGGGAATTGGAATGAAGTGGATGGGAATAGGACACCTCATCAAGCACAAAATTTGTATACCTATTTCTCTCTCTCTCTCTCTCTCTCTCTCTCTCTATATATAATATATATATATATATATATATATATAGAGAGAGAGAGAGAGAGAGAGAGAAGATAGCTCCTATAAACTTAGGTGGATAGAAAGACTTGTCCAACTTTTTTATCTATTAAATTTGCTTTGAGATTGTGCAAGACATGAAGGGTATCTTTGAGATGTGTGAATGATTTACACACATGCTAGCATAAAATCTCAAAGCAAATCTAGTGGATAAAAAAGTTGGTGGACAAGTGTTTCTATACACTTAAGTGTTATAGGAGATTCAATATATATATGATATATATATATATATATATATATATATATATACACACACACACACACACAACGTAATATAAATGTATGCGCAATTTATTTGGGCGGTACAAATTTGTGTAGTTTGTTCACTACAGCATGTGACATACACGGTACCTTCTCAAGAATTATACTTTTTTATCTATGTTTCCTTACAATCCTCCATGTGCCTTCTCAATCCCTAAAAATCCAAGGAAATCTGTTCGAACGTCTTTGAAAGTAAATTAACAGCAAACTTGAATTCAAAAACCTTTTAAGGTCATGTAAAACTTACTTGCAATCATTTTTTTTATTTTAATGGCTTGTCTTGTCATCATTGTGCTTGTGTTTTTGAGACGAAGAAGGAAGAGAACCAGGTATTATGCAGGTATAGAGATATGTTACATTTGAAAGTGGATAGTTATGAGAAGTGGGAATTAGTGTTTGTTCAAGTTTGCCCTCAAATTGATTTCCGTTGTCTATACAAATTTTGAGGGCATTATTGGGTTTTTGAAAATGAAGCTCAAAGGCCCAAAAGCCTGGCTTCTCTTAAATGTAGTATAATAAATGATAGATCCATTGATCTCTACCTTTTAGCCCCCAATTTAAACTAGATCGAACTAAAGCACAACTTGGTAGATACTGGATATTATCAATTATTAACCAGCAAAACCTAGTCATTTTTTGCAAAGTAGGGGTTTCTAAGGCTTTGTTCTTTACATGATTTTTTTTAAGCAGAGCATCTGCACTGTTAACAGCTATAGTTTACGACGCAACATCCATTGTGTATGTGTTCAGTAAGGCCTGATCGAATCAAAATATTCATGCTTTATTTGAATCAAAATTTCGACTTCAAATATGTATTTAGAATATTTGCAGGTTTATATTAATAAATGAAATAGCCAACAATTTCATTATTGGAAGGAAATTCTGCCACAATCTTTCTCGTTATCCGCCCCGCTTGACCTTCAACTATCGTTTTTTCAACTACCTCACTTAATACTGGTCATTAGTAACTACTGATCAACATTGATGCTTCCAACGTTTAACCTGATGGAAATATATAAACCTTAAAATATAATCAATCTTAAACAACAAGTGACCCTTAGTTCCAGGTCTATATTACATTTTTCCAGGTGTACCAAAATTAGATCGCACAGAACTGGAAGCTGCTTGTGAGGATTTCAGCAACATCATTCATTCATATCCGTTCTACACAGTCTATAAGGGAATACTGTCCAGTGGAGTTGAGATAGCTGTTATCTCAACTACAGTTGCCTCTCAAGATTGGTCAAAGCATTCAGAGGCGCATTTCAGAAAAAAGGTTTGCAATCCTATTTACTGATAGCTTATTGGAAGAGTTAATATTATGTCATCTATGTAATTACTCCCATATTGTATAAATACGCAAAACCTGTCATATTCTACTCCTGTATAAGGAGGTAGATGTACTCAAACCGAGACAAGAGAAATAATACCATTCTTTTTTTAACATACTGTCAAAGCTATGATATCAAGACCCTAATAAAAGGAAACTCAAAACCCGACCGCATTGTAACTCTTCCAACAGTAACTACTGAATACATCTCTTGATCATACTTGAAGAAGCCTTCATGATAATTTAAATTGTTAATAGCTTTTATTCTTATTTGTGCTCGTAGGTGGATATTCTGTCACGAGTAAATCACAAGAATTTTGTAAATCTTCTCGGTTACTGTGTGGAGAATGAGCCTTTTATGAGGATGATGACATTTGAGTATTCCGCTAATGGAACACTATATGAGCATCTTCATTGTAAGGATATTAGGGTCTGAAACTATTTTTCTTAGGGAAAATCAATATTGCAATCTATTGATGGAGATCGTTACTTTGCAGCAAAAGAATTTGATCATCTTGACTGGAGCGCTAGAATGCGGATTATTATGGGCACTGCTTATTGTCTTCAATACATACAACACGAAGTCAAACCCCCCGTTGTCATTGGTTATCTGAATTCTAAGGCAATATTTTTGACAGATGATTATGCTGCCAAGGTAAATGGAAATTTTCTTGCTTTTTCTATGCAAATTTTCTTGAGTAATCTCTGCCAATTAGATGCTCTTAATATTTATATTTTACTGCATGTTAGGATAAAGGAGGGATGTTTTATGTAGTTGTTAGCTAGCATAAAACCTAGTGAGATCTATGTAATACAAATCATAAAGAACTATTGTTTTTGTTGGTTTAAAATTTTCTGAGTAGTATCTATGCACACTCAATACATTTCTGAGCAAAATAGATGAGAAAGATAGGGAATATGTGCAATAAAGGAAGAAATATGTTACGCAAAGGAATTGAGTGTGCAACTGTGCACTTTTAGTCCGCATCTTATTGGAAGAGTGAAAAGGATGGAAATATGTCGAAGCCTAAGACCTAAGGCACTAGCGGTTTAGTATTAGTAGCACCTCCTGAGAATTGTATACAAACTCCTCCCTTGCAAAAAGAAGTTAATAGCTATTATTTACTTTTTCTATAAAAAAAACTATAAGTTACTTATGAATTATAATCTAAACCTAGATTATATATTCCTATTTCTTACCAGACTCTTGATTCGTATTGTAGTATGAAGTTAATTTGATTTTATGCAGGTTTGTGAGCTTCATATGTGGTCAGAAATTGCTGAAAGAAAAACTAAATCTCCAGATGAAGATAAAGATCCTTATGAACCCTCAAGTGCTGATCCTGGTAGCAACATTTATAGTTTTGGGATAATGATGTTGGAAATTATTTCTGGAAAAGTTCCAGAGTCAGAAGAAGAAGGTTCTATCCTAAATTGGGTAAGTATAAACTGATCTTGCGCCACTTCTCCTGCACTTGCTTTCCTTTACTACAAAAAAGATTATTGGGTTAATTGCCCATATAGCACCTACATTGTGCTTCTGTAGCCATTTATACCCTAAAACATTTTATAGAACTCACACCCTTGAGCCTCGGTGGATCTCACCTTTTTGCCCTCAATTTAAAGGACAATTTAGTACTTTTTTTCAGATAAACTGAGATAAAAGGTAATTGATCATGTGACAATCCCATGACATCTCAACCTAACTCCAAAAACAATTTCGGCTGAAGTTCAGGAAAGGTTGTGAATAAAATAGTTTTGGGGTATTAGTGGCTATACGTCCTCTGTATCTGCAATTAATCCGAAATTATTTGTTACAGTGTTTCCTGATCTTTTTCTTTACATTGTTTGCAGAAGCTATGTGAATATTCCTTAAAACCTTTTAGCTTTTCTAATCTTTCTCTCTTTCTTCTGAATGTGATGATAGGCTACTGAATATCTAAATGACAGGAGTAACTTCAAAAAATTGGTTGATCCCGCATTGAAAACCTCCAACAACGATGTGTTAGAATTAGTGTGTGAGGTAGTACAAGAATGCATTCATGGGGATCCAAAAGATAGACCGAATATTAAAGAAATTACCAGTAAACTGAAAGAGGCGACTGGAATATCGCCTGAAGCAGCACAACCTAGGCATTCTCCTCTTTGGTGGGCAGAGCTAGAGATCCTCTCAGTGGAAGCAAGTTAACATAGTGTAAATTTGTTATACCCACTTCATTCATTTTGTAGTTACTCAACATTCTTGTGAAGTCATTGATTAGATTGGAATGAGTCTCTCTCCCCCCTTCTATAGATGTATATGTTGTGTATGTATATTTATATATACTAGTTGGATTACACGTGCAATGCACGTGGTAAAATTTTTAATATTATTTTAAATTATAATGATATTTAGGTAAAGATTTGGTATAAATTTATTGAATGTAATTCTAAATGTTTGAACAATAAATTTATATATAGGGATAAATTATGCGATAGTAGAGTTGTTGTATCTACAAGGTGATTGATCAATCAAATACTATAACAAGAATATACCTAAAAGTTAATTTTGATGATGTGTATGTAAATCCAAGTTTATGACGTTATAGCCTTTCTAAGTCTTTGCACTAATTTCTTTGAAAAGCCTTTGATTTTCCTTTCATCTCGAAGCTTCTGATTGCACTTTGTGTTTCATATGTATTTGCCAGAGTTCTTTTCCCTTTGCTTTGCTATCCATTGATCATCAACTGTGCACTGTATCGTTTTGCTTGGCTTGGTTGCTTTCTCTTCATCTTGGTGTTATTTTGTGCCAAGAGTTTTTGTGTTTGGTTCACTAATCTCCAAACTCCATTAGAGACGACCGATATCTCATTAGGAGGAGATTGCATAATTTTTCCTTTGAGTAGTTATCCATCAGAATCATATATTCATCTTTGTCAATGACCTTCTTTAGCCTACATATGTTCCACCTTTACGTTTTTCATCAAGTGATTGGTTCACTAATCTCAAAATTATGTATATTTTTGCTTGGCTTGGTTGCTTTCTCTTCATCTTGGTGTTATTTTGTGCCAAGAGTTTCTGTGTTTGGTTCACTAATCTCCACAACTCCATTAGAGACGACTGATATCTCATTGGAAGGAGATTGCATAATTTTTTCTTTGAGCAGTTATCCATCAGAATCATATATTCATTTTTGTCAATGACCTTCTTTAGCCTACATATCTTCCACCTTTACGTTTTTCATCAAGTGATTTATTTCCTCTATCTTATACCAGTCACATCTAAGCCATCGTTACCCACTTACCCCATATTTTGGATCAATGACATATAAACCACATGGTCAAAAACATTGACTAATATGGAACTTGGTGACAGGAACCTAACAATTCCTTAACTTGCTCAAGCCTAGATACGTGAAAAACACAGGCCAAGTGGAAATCTATAATGAAGCAGAGACCAAAATGAGCCTTACAAACATTTATGAGCACTTTTGTACGAGTCTTTAATTTTTGAGGTGGTCGACATAAAAGCCTATTTCTTTAACTTTTGCCATTATGGTAATGTAACTAATGCTAGCCAATTATCAAAGCATATTTATGGCCTGGTATCTGTATGACACGCTCGGAGGTCTATCAAAAAATATGTACTAAAGGATAGTCAATGGGGAGTTCAGTAGTAAAGCAACACAATTAGAAAATCAACACAAGTAGAAATGAGGCAAAGAAACAGGGAAGAAGCAGACATATGCTCTCTATGCCTAACCATGTGTCGGTCATAAGCAATGATGAGTCCACCAGGGAGGGGGCATTTGGCATATCACAAATTATTGGTCGAACACTTCTTAAGTAATTTTCAGAAAAGTTTTTTCAAAAATTGATTTTACCCACCCAGGTGCAAATTGCAATTAATATTGTTAGTGGCTTTTTCGTTAATGATGTAAGATGATGAGAATAGTGAGCAAAATCTATTTAGATAACACTATAAAGTTCTTAGTAACACAATAGTAAACTTCCATTGGTTCGTGATATTTTATCTCAAAGTCCGGCACAAGCATCATCATTGACCGCGTTTATTGATTACTTTGACATGCTAATTCTTCACAAAATAATATAAGAATCTTAGTTAGCTTTAGAAATTAAAAAGAAGAGCAAATCGGTACACTCAATTCGTAGGAATAATCTTTGGATCTGTGTGGCTCTTTGTGTGTAAGCAGACATGTAGCGGTAAATATCTAGGCTGCAACCAGGGGGCTATTGCTGCAAAGAAAACTTCTAGTGGAGGCTTGGCTGAAGGGAACTCGGCCATAACCTCCAGGAGGCTCCTCTGACGTGCAACTATCCATTGAGAATATCCATCCTATGTCAAAGAAAAACAATGGAAAATGAGAAAGTGATTTACGATAAAACTGAAAGCTTAGACAATTAGAGTCACCAATAACTGAACCTACCTTGCCAGCAGGAAACGCCAAAAATCTCAATCTTTCTGCCTCACTGGGATCAGAATGGCGGCAATCGATAGTATCAAATATACTGTTTTAGAAACAAATGTTTAAATTAGTTGTTTGAATCCAGGTAGTTCTTGCCTTTTTAGGAAAATTCAGAAGATCAGCATATCGTGCAAGAGCAGTTCTTAGATCAACAGGGAGTGGGAAAGGAGGTGGGAGAGAACCACCGTTGCGGGGGGTTCCATCTTCATTATCAGCATGAATGGAGAAGAATGCATCCGATGAAAGACCCAATAGCTTTTCAGCCTCCTCTGCAGTCTCAATGCGATTCTCTGAATATACACCAACGTGGTCTCCTGTTTGTTTCATATCTGGTGGAAGAGTTGTTTTACTGTGAGCACAAGGAAATGTGCCAGCAATATCTAATTTAAGTTTGTAAAGCAACAACAGACATATAATAATGACGACAGCAGCATAAACCATAAAAATAACCAACACAATCATAAACTCATAATTTAAGTTTGTTTAGCTTTTACGTTGGTGAGCTTGTCAAAATAAAAATTAAAAAAAACGAAAGAAAAAGAGAAGATATAAGACGAAAAACATGAAATGTAGGAAAGCCCTGTCCATTACATGTATAACCTCTAATGAACTGCACAACATCGATCTACGAACCCCTACAGAGCGCGAATTCATACAACTGCTTAGGATCATAAGATTGATTCTATGGTTGTTTTCACATGCTATAGCACCACTCTCACGTATCTAAAGGCAAAGTTGTTCAAAGACAAAAAAAACAAGTCATAAAGACTTTGAACATATCCGGCACTCGAACAATCAGATCATTGTCATGTTAAGTATACAATTGAATGAGTTGCATAAAATGAATAATATGACGTGGAATCAAAAGAGGAAAAAAGAAATAATGTGATGTGGAATCAAGAAAGGAAAAAAGAAATACAAGTGTTAGACCCTAAAGGGGGGTGATTAGGGTCTTATGCTAATCTAATCCGATTTTATACCAATTAAAACTAATTAACAAGTTATTCTAGCAAGTATAAAATACAACAAGATATGTGAGCTAGGATAAGTGATATACACAAGGGTAAACAAAATAAACAAGATAGTGGATGATATAAATAATGAGCAATGGACAATGGCGACAAGAAATATAAACATAAGAGAAGTGCGCCAAAGCAAACTCAAACATACGATATGATCACGGACTTCGGACCTTCCGTCCTACGTCTCCGCTCCCCACTCCCGGGGAGAAATCCACTGTCACAACCGGGTTGTTTACGCTCACCCGAATAATGTTTATACCTCACAATGTTGGTTTTTAACGCTCACCGATCAACGTTCACAAATACTCACAATGTCGGTTTTTAACGTTCACCGATCATCGTCTACACTCCACACCTCACAATAACAACAAATAATTTGTTCTCTAATACAAGGCGAGAACTCAATTAAAGCTCACACTCAATTGTTACAATTCTCACCAACCCAAATATACTATGTATGAAAATACAATAAGCTCAAGTGGGTGTGTGTAAACAATGAGTGAAATCAAATCAAATCAAACTAAACTCAAATATAAATACTAGCTTAATAGAATGATAATTAAACAATACAAAATGTAAAGCTAGATAGAGTTTAGAAAACTTTTCAATAGATCAAGAGGTAGAGGAAGAATAGTTGGATGCTCAAACACCAATGGTTGATCTCCTCAAGCTCTTGTGAAATTGATTTCACAAAACAAACTCTCAATTTGTTTAAAAGCTTTTTAAACAAAACTTAAATCAAACATAAACCTTTGTTAATACTTGTTTAAAACACTCTCATTGTTAGTAGGAGAACTAAAGGCAATGGGGTATTTATACCCACTCAAAACTTCAGCAAAACCCCCACAAAACTGACCAAAAAGCCCACAGAAAAACACAGTTGGAACTAGCCGTTGGAGTGCAACGGTCAGATCAGCGGTCAACCGTGGAAAACTCACGGTCGACCGCAAGCCAAAAAGCGCCATGGTGATTTGGCTCTGAAACAACAGACGGTGACCGTGGCCGGTCGACTCCTCGAAACTCTTTGCCGACTGCATCGCACGCCGTCGCATCGCAACAAAAAGCAAACTAAGTCTCTGGACTCAAGGCGGTCGACCATGGCGGTCGATCGCAAACTGACACAATGAAATTTTAGGTTTTGAAAACTGTTTTTCTGATTTTAAAACACTGTTTAAAAATATCAAATAAATTCAGAAAAATATAAAACTTTGGAAAATAATTGTAAACATGATAATACACATGCTACAAAAACTGGTTTTCAAAAAGGACCTCCTAAATGTAAAATATCATCATTTTGTAAAAATAGTTCAAAACATAAAAATGTAAACATGTGAATTTTGACATTTTAGCTAAACCATGTTTTAAAACTTTACACAATGATTATATAGACTTAATAAAATATGTATATGATTATTGTGGAGTCCAAAAACTAAGAATACAATATTTTCATAAATATGCATATTCTATGCAATATGTTCTTAAACACAATAGAATATGAAACAAATAAAAATGTGAAAAGCTATGTTTGTTGTTTCATATCTATGTAGCTAAACCAAAACATATATGTATGTGTGTGTGTGTGTGTGTGTGTGTATATATATATATATATATATATATAATATATATATAAATATATATGAGAAATATGGAGAACCTTGGTTACCAAGTTGCCTTAAACAACTTGGTAGTGATGCTGCGCCTATCTTGGCCCCTACATTACACTCGAAGATAAGAGCCTCAACCACCCTTCACCAACTCCAATTAGATGTATGGACAAGACTTAGGCCACTCACTAGCCAAGTTATTGGAGCCAACTTGGTACCAAGTTTCTCCATTTCTCTGCTCTCTCTCTCTCTCTCTCTCTCTTCATCTCTCTTCTTTCCTATATATATATATTATATATATATATATATATATATATATATGTATATATATATATATATATATATATATATAACCAAAACGTGTATGTGTGTATATGATTGAGCTTAAAGTACTAACACACATAATATAAAACCTAAACTAAATTACCCAAGCTTGATCTTAATCTTCAATTAAGCTCGACTTTGTATACTTACGGATGAAGCTTGAACTTGTATCTTTAACTTGAATGTACATTGCTTCACTCCACAATTCTGCAAATCTCCATTGGATATGGTCGTGAATGCGCAATTTCATCTATCCTCCAATTCGTTGTTTATCTACAATAAATAGAAATACACAAATACTAGACAAATAACATTAGTGGTAAATTGTTTGTTAAACATCATCAAAACAAAGAGGCCAACAACAAGTACTTACACAAGACCAGTTCGAGCAATGTCAAACTCTAGATGAATGCAAGAACGGTCAGAAGCTGGAGTGTGGAGCTCTTTCCGCACAACTACATTAGCTCTGAAGATCGGATATCATGTATTATTCCATTATTAGATGAACTTAAATACACGTCTCAATATAAAACATTCCTTTAGCACCTGCATGGATGATGAATATCATGAACGGCATGACCATTTGCAAGACTCCGTTTCTTTTCCAAATGTGATGTGGCTTCTGAGTCAACAAACACAATCTTGTATTCAGGAACAGCGGCTGTGTAAGTGGTAGATGCACCAGAGACATCATCTTGATCTCGAAGCAACTGATCTAATTCTGGCCATAATTGTTCTTTCCTGTAAGAATATATATCTTGTTACTAACTAATCTATCATAGTATCATTCTTTCCTAGCATATATCCAACCACATAGATACCACGATGAGTCTATGTGAAAGTTTCATAGAAACTGAACTATGTAAAAAGAGCACGAACAAACAAATATTATGAAGAGGAACAGAAATGGAATGAAATTTAAAATTACCTTTACTGATAAGTACTTTCTCCGCCTTTCGCTACATGGCGATGCAGCATGAATTAGCTGAATCATCCACAAATAAACCAACTTTAGGAGCAGTATAATTTGTGCTTTAAAACAAGTAATAAAGATTTAGAAGTCTAATGGGACTCTATCAAGATTCGAAGTAAACATATCTTCTCAGTTCTCACCAACAAAAACTCAAACTGCAAGAATCATATAATGGACCTGACTTTACCCAGCTAAACCTACAAAACAGTTACTTTATATGTATAGATGGATTTGATATATTCTGTTGATTCATCTCTTACAAACAGTAGACAACAAACCCATCAATTTAGTGCAAATGCATTTTACATATTTCTTCTTAAGTGCCAATGTCTCCTTACAAGATAGTATAAATGCCAGTGTGCAAAGTAGTCTATATGGGCACAATCAATAATACAAAAAGTGTGAACTGGATATAGCATTACATTTCCAACCAAGGTAACTGTATCAAAATCGTAAATGAATGATGTTGCGGTTTTGGTATAAAAAGAGGGCTGTGACAAAAGAAAAAGAACGTGAGTCAAAAATAACAAACTTCAAGTCTCCTAAAACTAACTCAAACCAAGTAAAGATGCAGTCACATCCATTTCAAGCGCAAGCTAAAATTTTCACCTCAAATCCGGTATAAATTACTATAAACAACAAGAAAACTTTAGGTTTGTCAAGGACATCTCTTTGTCATGTGTGGGGAAAAATACTTCATAATTCAAGTTATGTGAGCCTGTGTGTGGTTGAATGCAGTTCATTACATGTGAATTCTAGGCTTTTGCCAAAGGTCTCTCAAAATAAGCGGTGTAAGATTGATGATAGAAATGTATAATACATTTGGATATAATAAGTTGTATGGATTCAACTTACTTTTCTAAACTCGCTACAACAGCTGTTCGAATATTGAAACCCTTGTCACTTGAAACTGCAAGAAATCGAGAATTAGGGCAAAATTAGAACACAAGGAGAGGAATGAAGAACAAAAAGGGGAGAGAGTGAATTGAGCAGAACTAACGATTAGAGATAGGGTTTTGTGTAGCGGAATTAAGACCAAGAAGAAACCTTCTTCAAATCATAGGTAGAATTTGTTTTAAATTTAAAAATCATACGTAAAATTTAGAAGTACCTTCTTCAATGAAATTCCTTTCTGATCCTAACCGATGCCAAAATTCTGAGAACTAAGGAGATGATGGCGGAGGCGTGGTGTTGATGATTAGGACAATAATACTCATCTTTAAGATCGTGGTACAGCGTAACCGATGAACTGATGAGATGGGCTGAGGAGAAAGGTAACTGATGAACTGGTTGGTGGAAAGGAGGCGTAACCGACGGAAAATTTAGGGCTTTTGATTTTTGACGATCAATGATGATGAAATCTATGTAACGATTATAAGGCATAACTTTGGTATATTTAAATTGGTTGAAGGTAATTTGGGGAAGGAAAAGTTTTTCATGAACTCCCTCTTTTAAAGGGTAGATGATGTATGTACATATAGGGTTATAATATACGCAGGGTGTAATTTAGTCTCATATACCCATGAACATACATGTTTGACCATTGATATTAATCATCTACATTGTTCACTATGATCTATATGTACATTCTAAAATTTACGGAGATAAAAAATCACATATATTCGGTATTTTCGGTTTTTACATCATTGACATGGTACTAAACGGACTGTAGTGGTCTCAGAAGTTGGTTATTACTTAGAGTTGCATGAATTATGGGATAGAGCATTTCACACCATGTATTTTCTAATCCACTTGGATTTGATGGCATATAGATAGAAGTGAAAGATTGGGATTACCAATATAGATGGCAAATGTGTGTTTTTACCTGTGTGTGTAACTAAGTTAGTTACACCGTTTGTATGTAACCCTACCAATGTGTGTGTGCACGTGTGCGTGGGCGTGGGCGTGTTGGTGTGCGTCTTTGGGTGTATGTGTGTGTGTGTTTCACCATTTCAGCAAAGATCAACCGATCAGCTGTCTCATATATGCCATGATAGTGGTTTTGAGTAATATGTATGATTTATTTTTTTATATGGTTTTGCTTCTTCTTCTGTATATGTGCATTCATATCTGCGATCTATTCGCCTATGTAAATTGAAATTTACTTGCAATATAATCTCTGTGGGGTCAGAACATGACTATATATAGTAGGTTAAAAATGTTTGCACGGGTACAATGTTATGATTGTACCATATTGATTGTGTTAGATTTAGAACTTGTACCAGGATATGTGTCACGATATCCTTATTTGCTACGTCATTTTCTATAGAGTGTCTCTACAGTATTCTTTTCCTCTGCGTCAGGATTTTACATTTCTTCTCCCATGGCCTTGCTGTAGGATCAATGGTCTGCGTTTGTATAAGTTGGACTCTGTTCATGTCCATTCAATGAAATATATTTCTTCTCCGATGGCCTTGCTCTAGGATCAATGGTTTGTGTTTGTAAAAGTTGGACTCTGTTCATGTCCATCTCTCCCCCCCTTCTGCCTTATTAGTGTTAAATAGATTGGCGGTCAGTTCCAAAAAAATGATATTTTTACTGTCTATTTCGAAATGCAAATATAATGAGAGATGAATAAAAACCTAAGATAATATTAGCTGATGCTCGTTCTCGTGGCTCTTATGTGTCTTTGAGATATGGGTGTTCTTACCATTATAGTTCTTCTAATTTCTGAATATAATGAGGCGTTGTATCAGTTGTGGTGGTAAAGGAACTTTAATGAATCCCTCACGTTTCACTTTAATGATATAAACATACTGCATGAGCCGCCTCCCCTGTATCAGTCTGTAGGAATACGTTTACTCTAGTATGAATATTATATTGCTTGTTTTCTTGCAGATAGTGATTTTTACCCATTGTTTTGGCCGTAGTTGACGCTTGGTGTCTCCTCTTAGGTTCCTACATCCTTGTTTTAGTGATTAAGTACGATAACGGACATGATGCAACCAAACAGAATACCTAATGAGTGATACAATCCAAAAAGAAACAGTGAGAGAGACGAGTCCGCCAACTTGAGACTTAAAATATTGGCGGTCATGTTGTCTCATCTCCTCGCTGTATTTTTTTCTTCTTCTTCTTCTTCGTATGAAAGTACTTATCACGAGTAAAGTTTGAAACGTGCATACCAAGATCGGGCAGAAGTCGGTGGCTCGTGTTATCCTAAGGTTGTCGTTTGAAAGCTCGTTTGCAATTTGATTACCCTCTTCTAGCCCGTGTCCGCCGAAGAATTGTACGAAACAATGACCTATTCGAACGAAACACCATGCATCATCTCCGAATGTTTCCTCCACCTGTTTCCTTGGAATTTCATCAGGATTTAAGGATTATTCAGAGAGGTAACTTAATGCCACACAAGTAATCTCGTAGGGTTGGGTATGATTCCATCTTTTCGTCAAAAAGCTGAAATCGTCAACTTCAACTTTAAAATCGGTTATGCGTCACTACACTGAGACTACTGCATCAACAACTTAACTTATGTGGAATATTTTTGGCAACCTTGCTCCTCCATATGCGATCTACTACAGGGCCCTTTAGAGGACTTCTTTTTTCCTGATGCAGAGCTATGAGCTCGACCAAGGCACGTTCGCTAAGGTCTACAGCTCAAGATAACTATCACTCAGACCAAGATACGTCTCAAATCTCAGAAAATAATTGGTTGTGACGGTTCAAACCACGATACGGTAACAACAAAACGAAGCCAGTATCCCAAAATTTTCGGATTTCAGCTGCATGTACAGAGAACAGGAAATAGAATTTTCTTAATAATAACAGAAGGACGCAAAACGTTTAAACTCTCTGATAGAGTAAATATATGTTTGGGGGGTCATGACACCATGTTCTACATTTCAACTGCCTGAGGTATCTACCCCCCAAAAAAAAAAATTCTGTAAGTTTAATGGAATACAACAACAACAACAATAACAAAAAAGGTTGTTGCAGCTTGCTCAACTGCAAACTACCGAGTCCCTTAAATGATATGGGTCAGTTGGCCTTCAAGATAACAAATAAGCCTCAACGACGACACTTTAACAAAGCCGGGATCTTATTATGAAACAGTTTATACTCAACTAAAATGATGATATGCTTAGTAGGTCACAAACTACAAGCCTATAGACTTCTCAAGCTTCTGGATTTGATTCAAGAATATCCACGTCATCTGCACAAAATCACATTCAAAATATCAAACAACACGGAACGGACAAAACATCAATTCAGCTAAGAAAGTAGGTCTAGAATTATGTTACTTGTGAGAAATTACCATGACATGGGGAGCAATCCTCACACAGTAGACAGGAAACCCTGTGTAAAATTTAAAAGGTCCTCCACTCTTTAAGGTCTTCAAAGCACAGTCCAAAGAACCAGTGTATGGATATTTCCCGTTTGCATCTGGTTGCATCTTCTGGATTTGAGTTTTGACATAGTCAAAGGGCAAACTACAAGCAGATGCGAAGAATCCTGAAACAGCACTAGCCCCTGCAAGCAAGAAGGTTGCAGCAACATTAGTTGAGAAACTTTAATGGCAGGGAACTAAAAATAAACTAGTTTAGCTGTGGCGCCTTTGCACTAATTTTTAACTATTTTTTTTAATAACGGAATACAGAAGAATTCTTGAGAAGTCGGAGAGAAAGAGGCAAAGCAGAGATCCCATGTCATACTCTTAACAATATGATGAATGTGACAAAAACTAGTCTCTGAGGAAAGTAGTTCAGTTGAAAGAGCATCCTGCAATGTCACAACTCATAAGTTGACCACATCGACCGTTTCTTTACAAAGACCCCAATCGAGAAGATGAAGAGAATGAACTAAGTAGAAAGAACAGTCGTGGTCACCTATGCTATTCTCTAAAACCCACAGCTTTACTTTACGGTTAGACAATATTTTTTTCTCAATTTAGGCAATATCTACTTAATTCAACAAGGACAAACTACAAGCCATGTGTCCACTATGGTATAATTTGCTTTCCCTTAACAGCAAACAGTCGATTCTTAATATAAGGTACAGAAGGAATTTCAGGAAAAGCACATCTGAAGTTCGCCAAGGAAACTTTTTAACAGTAAAAATCAATTTCGAAAATCAATTTCCTTTCTCTAATTACGCAAACTGGCTCAAAGATAATAAACTGACAGCTCTGGGATAACATTGATATTCCTCTCAAAGAATCAAAAGCTGCCACAACCAAAACAATGCAAGGATCATATATCTCAGTGATCAGTATCACTACAATAGGTGCAATTATGTAGTGCTAGCAGTAATAAATGCAAAAACCTACACGCAGAAAAGGAATGGTTCATAAAAATCGATAAATAACCAGTCATAATAGTTCAGAGCTCACCAACAACAGTACTGATTTCTCCAAAACCAAGTTGATCCCTGAAAAGCTCAACACTTTGATCGTATGAGGCAAGCATGCCCATATTTAAGGCCATTGCCCTCACTACAGTAGGCCCTGCACCTTTCCAGAGAGCCAAAACCCCTTCATCAGCAGAAATTCGATAAAGAGCATGAAATGCATTTTTGTAATTCCGTCTCTGTGCTAGGGGAAGTGTTGCATCAGCCTGCATTCGGATGAGAGATAAATCAGCTGGACTACCAACAGATGCTCCAATTGCTCCAGCCGTCAAACCAATAGCAGCTTTCTGAAGGAGAGGTAGGGGCTTCCCATCATTAGCCTCGACTGCTTTGTTCGTCAGTACTCTAGAAGTAAGCAAGAGAATAAATTGCATTTAATTGAGAAAATATGAACAAATAGAAGTTTATTCTTATAGACACAAAACAGTTAGACCTACTTAATGAACAAAGAGTATACAGTAGAACAGGTGTGGGTTACCTCCTAAACACTTCTACAATAGGTTATTCTCATTTAGCAATATGGATTTTCCTCGACCATTTTAGATAGCACGACATTTATTTTGAACATTTATCTAAAAAACATTTATTTTGTATGAAATCTTCATCCCATTTGGCTTTTTTGCTTATATTTTCTTTCTGCTAATTACTATTTCTTAATCTCAATAAAAATTTGGTAACAACATATCACCTTAGATATAAATCTAGACCCTTTCCTGGTCCAGGAATATGGGATCCGCCCCTTAGTTGGATAAGATTAAATTACTGGACCAGAAATAACAGGCCTACTAAGCAGTTAACCAGCATGAAGGTTTTGTGACAAGATTGTATGTTACCCAATAGTACAGCTTGGACACCAACAAGAATTGATATTGAGATATGGTCAACAATACTTGTCCAGTGATATTACGGAATCTCAAGTTTGAAGTTCGAACTATACAAAACAGGGACCCAAAAGAAAGAATAATTGTTTCCTACAGGGTCCCAAAAAGAAAAGACTGGACTAAATGTTCAGGAAAATCAGTGAAATCAGGATATTCAGGATCCAACTCAAAAAAATATTTTTACCATATTATAGTTATTGTATTGCCTTATTGTCAAGTGCAGAAAAGAGATGGATCCATCTGATTAATCACCAATTAGGAGCTGATGATTAAGAAGGACTCAATTTAATCGGATGGCCAAAGTCAAAAACTACTTGCAATTGAGTTGGATTCTTTACAATCAACAATTGAGATCTTTTCTTATGAATTAGAGTTACAAGAGAAAGTATAAATAATTTTATAGCAAGAGTTGTATCAAGGCATTGAAAGCCAAGAATAAAGAGCTAGGTAGAGGTAGAAGGTTTGAGAGCAAGTATTCTTCAGATTTTCATTTAGAGATTCAAGATCAGTGACTCTTGCAACCAAGTTTGAAGTAATATTCTCTAGTTTCTCTCCTGATGAAAGTAAGCCTGGCTCAGTGTAATCATCCATACCATTCTCATATTTTCTTCTTTACCCTTGATTATTCTCAGTGACTCTTTTACCAATTCCAAACAGTTAACCTTGTTGATTATCATCCAAGTGCAATTATTGCATTGAGATAGCCACCAAGATTTTATCCAACTTATAACAATCATTGCACTAAGATGGGCACTAAGACTTGATTCAAGCTACCTTATATCCAAATAGCATACTTTTGAGGACAGAGATGAATTCCAATCACACGATTAACATTAACATAGATATTTGGACTACCAAAACATTTAATGCAAGTTTTTACTGGATTATGATATTCTCATTGCTAGCAAAAGATCTCATATTATATCTTTCCACAGAACATGCACATGAAAAATGTCAGCGAAGGGAATCATTTCCTAATACAATTTATTCTTACCTAAATGTTCCAATCACATGATTAACATTAACATAGATATTTGGACTACCAAAACAGGCAGGTAACCTTTAATGCAAGTTTTTACTGTATGATGATATCCTCATCGATAACACAAGATCTCAAATCATATCTTTCCACAGAACATGCAAATGAAAGATGTCAGCAAAAGGAAACATTTCCTAATACAATTTTATTCTTACCTAAATGATCCAAGACGTGCTGTTGTGTATGTAGCTTGTCTTAATAAACCAGCAGAAAGACCCTGCTCCAAAACATCATATTAGACGGGAAATAAATTATTAGATGGAATATTGAAGAAAGTTTAGAACATGAACATAAATAAATCAAAATGCATTGATGCTATCCACAAACGTAAAGTAAAATATGATTATCGATTTGCCTGCGAAAGTTTCAGAGCGGAAAGAAATCAGTAAGCATGGCCGCTTGAATACGTACCCCATAAATCTTTCAAATTTAAAAAAGAATTGTCCCCTCTTTAAATCATATGTATAAATCAACTGTCCAAATCATAGGGATCTCAGAAATTTGTCCCCAAGTTATGTCCTGTCTGTAAAGGCGCAAGCAGCACTGTTCTGAAAAATATTCGAGATGCATTGTACTGAAATATGAAATGTGTTCCAATGTGCTTGCATGGTAAACTATCATGCGGATGCAAATTTCAGATTGGTTTAAATAAAAATTCAAATGGATCAGAAGAATATTTCTATTCAACATTTCTCTAACAAAAACAAACATCCCATTAATTTATTATAATTTATGATAGTAAAGCACCATCAAGTCAACAAATAAGAAGTCAAGCTGTAATAGTGGATGATAGTAAAGGTCCGCCAAGTAAAAAAAAGAAGTCAAGTTTCACCATAACTGGCCCAATATGTCTAGTTGGTGAGGTATATATTACATTTGCCATAGTTCTCTCATGTAAAATTCACTTTAATTTCCTACCTCACTAGATCTCTACTAGAATGGGTATGGGTGTGAAGGATAGACGGGGATGATCGAAAATAGGAAGGTAATACATTGCCTCACCATCACATAAAACACACAAATCTAGATCCTAGAATGGAACACCAACACTAAATTAGTTTTTAAAAAAAAGTAAGAAATCTGGTCCTTTTCATGTTTTCATTTTGAAAACCCCAACACTATGTTCTTGTTGTAAGTTCAGAATCTGATATAAGTGTCCTGTAAATTCTAGCATGAGCCTCATTCTTTTGAGAACTTGATGTGTTTCTTGAATGTTACAATAAAAAATGAGTTCAGAAATCTTTAAAGGGAAAGTTATCCCATTTCATTTATATGATTAGATGTATATGATAATAGTTACAATAGTTTAGGTGCAAGTACATAAATCATAAGATCCAAACAATCCAGAATCAGTTGCTCGGCCCAAATAGGAATCTATGTAATAATTTATACATAGCTTTACACTCGAAAGTTCTATAACCTTAACAACACTAGTTACTGCTCCCTGATCTACAACAATATTGAAACTAATGAAAGATACACAATTCGTGGTTCTGTGGAATCACTTCCGAAACTATGGTTCAAATAGAATTAATGTCCAAAAGCATGATCCATATAGCAGATCATGATTGTTCAAACAAATGGATTATTTTTTAAAACCTCCTGTACCCACATCCAACATCAGTTGCACGGCCAGGATCAGAAGCTACTGAATGATTTTCTCTCTACTTCCCATTTGAAAAATTGTAATCTTAACCACATTAATTACTGATTCCCAATCTGCTAAAGCTGTTAAAGTTACTGTCAATGTTTTAAAAAGATACACAATTTGTGGTTCTGTAGAATCACTTCCGAAACTATGGTTCAAATAGAATTAATGTCCAAAAGCATGATCCATATAGCAGATCATGATTGTTCAAACAAATGGATTATTTTTTAAAACCTCCTGTACCCACATCCAACATCAGTTGCACGGCCAGGATCAGAAGCTACTGAATGATTTTCTCTCTACTTCCCATTTGAAAAATTGTAATCTTAACCACATTAATTACTGATTCCCAATCTGCTAAAGCTGTTAAAGTTACTGTCAATGTTTTAAAAAGATCCTGCCTAGCCCGTCTAGGCTCTTGCCTAGGCCTAGGCAGTACCTAGGCCGCCCACCTAGGTCTTGGAAGCGCCTAGGCCTAGGAGGAACCTTATGCGAACAGCACCACTTAGGTCTTAGTCATAATTTCCTTCATTGCCGCCTCCATCGTCCTCCAGCCTCCTATTAACTCCTTAATGTTTATCATTAAGTCCATTTATGCAAGACTGATTATGAATATACTATTATTATTTATTTTTTGTTATTTTCTAGCAATTTAATGTATTTAACATCAATTATTGTAATTAAAAATAAAAATTGGAAAACTGCCTAGCCCCCGGTTAGGCGCCTAGGCCCAATGTGTCGGGTCTGGCGCCTAGGCCGCCTAATGCTTTCTGTAACCCTGAATTCTGTAGAATACACTAAAAAGGGTTTTTGTTATATTAGAGCCTAAATTCTTCGTAGCTTTATATTAAGCCTCCAAATCTTCATATCTCCACCAATTTATATCCCAAAATCTATTAAGTTATCATATTAGATCTAAATTCTTCCTTAATTTAACATTAGGCTATCAAATCTTCAATTTCTAATGTACCTTCAAATCTATTATGTTGTTTTAAACAAAAGTAAAGTTAACAAACTACAGTTATATCTGAGTAGGGGATTTATTTAAAACCACCCATTGGGTGTAAATTAGAAAGGTTTAGGGGCCTAATATAAATTAAGAAACAATTTAGGATGCGCTATGGAAAAACCCCAAAAATTCCATCTTTACAAAATCACTACAAAAACTAAGGCAATTCGGATAACTCAAACAAGTAGCTTCTTTGTTCGACATATGTTCTATTCCAACCAGTAAATCAGCTAATAGTTACCAAAATATCAGCTCCACGCTGCCTTTTTAAGGAAACATTGAAAAGATACCAAATCAAAACTAACTCAAAAGATTTAATCCTCAAGATCTAAACTACTTAAACTAAAACACGGTAAAAACTAGTACAGATCTGAGATCTCAAGAACCAAAACCTTGTAAAAGGATCCAAATCCCTCCTGCGCGAGCATGTTCTTGGTGACCTGAGCTGCCGATCCCTGACCTAACTGGATCCTCACCTGCAACACAAAACCAACACCTCATCAGATCTCAGATCTCGAGCTCAAAACCCTAAATCGGGCAAAAAATGAGATGATGAAGAACCTTGATCATGTCGATGGGTTGGATGACGCAGGTAGCGAGCATTCCCGAGAGTCCGCCATTGACGAAGGGCTTGACGGTGGGCCAGACTCCTCCAGATTTCGGCTTTGAATCCCCCATTACTCAAATTGACGAAGATTGAAGAGAGAGAGAAATGGGTGATTTTTTTTTGAGTCCGAGCTTGAAAGTGCAGGCGAAATCTGAGAATGGCGACCTAGTGGTATTTATTGAAGTCGGGCGGATTCTTCGCTAGATCCGCCCGCTATTTTAGTGGATATTTTCAGAAAGGTACAGATTTAATTCGTATTTGTAGATTTAGACGTTCGCCTATGCGGTTGATATTTATTGGTTTCCTTGTATATCAAGGGAAAATATTCAATAATCTTTGTGCAGTGAATAATCAGTTCAAGAGTATTTAGATCAATGGTAATAGCTAATTATTTATTTATACTGATTGGAAGATAAATAATCCTTTGAGCATTGATTATTGAGTAAAAGGATCTTGAACAGTTTCTCATGTACATTCCTAACAAAGTATATATATATATAGAGCAAAACTTCTGTCAACTTAAGTGGACGTCCACTAAGTTTCTTATCCATTGATGATTACTAGATTGAGCAACATTGTGGATGATCCGTTCCGTTGAACTTGATCTACATATTCTAAAACCCCAACACACCAAATTTGGGGTGAATCCGTCGTAGTTTGACCATTCATCCACTCGTATTAATTTTAACGGTTTCGAATGAATAGAATTTTTTACATGGCTCGACGGAGGGTCAAACCACAACGGATTCACCCCAAATTTGGTGTGTTGGGGTTTTAGAATATGTAGATCAAGTTTAACGGAGCGGATCATCCATAATGTAGCTCAATCAAGTGATTATCAATGACTAAGAAACTTAGTAGACGTCCACTTAAGTTGATATATATATATATATATATATTCTATTTAAATTTTATTTGTCATGTTGGAAGGGAAAAAATTTACAGTTAAAATAATTTAAAAACAACCTTACATAATCTAGAGATAGAACAATCATTATTATTTAGGTGAACATAATTACTCTATAGAAGGTTTGGCTAAAAACCGTAAAAGGAAAATTAGATTATTAGATTTTCTTTAACCAAAAAAAAATATTCTAGAGCAACTTGAGACAAAACTACATTTTTGCGCCTATGTAAGTATTGTCAATGGTGTTCCAATACCAATACAACTTGGCATTCCATCAATCCGTCACCTCAAACATATCTTGTGTCAAAATTCAAAAAGACGCAAGTTGGAGTTCTATTTTTTAAGATGTATTCTTTAAGTTATGAGTACCTAAATTTGGATAAGAGAACATTTGTGTATTTAATTCATTTATCCTGTTGGCATTAGTGTCTAATAAAGAGAACACCCAATTTTTTAAAAGAGTAAGAAATTTTAGTGTCCATTCTTCTTTTTTCACTTTTTTTTTTTTTTACTTTGCCCCAGCTGTTACTACAGTTAGTGTCGGTTCTTAATTGTTAATATAGGTAAGTAGAGGACGTTTTCTGCAAAAACATGGTGGCACGTGGTTATCCCCGCGGCGTGGATTAAGACAAGTTAGTTGCATGGCTGGCCAATGAAAAGAGAAGTAATGGCTTTGGACGGCTTAGCTTTGAAGGGAGTGGACTGACACGTTGAAGTATTGGAACGATCGAACTAACTTCTGTTAGCTGGATATTTCCTTCCTTTTATCTCTTTTTATTTCTCCTGAATTTTCTCTATAACAGCTGGTCACTTCTACTTGCATTTTATCTTTTTCTTTTATTTGTCTTTGCTATAATTTTATTTCCATATTTATTTATTTATTTATTAAGGAGATACATATACTGAACTATATAACCTGGTTTTCCGTGTGATTTTGGTTGTCTTTTAAAAGGACTAATTACATTCAAACCCCATGAGGTATGATATAATTACATAAATTATCTTGGGATTTGTATAGCTATATGGATAAACGTGAGGTTATTGATTGTATTTATACAGATAACTACGTGAAGGAAATAAGAAAAACTGTATTTGGACCCAGATTAGGGACCATCTGTGGGACAGATGACGTGGAAAGCTATTTTGAATTTTTCATGCTCTTTAGCATTCCAGGCTGGACATATGAATATACTAAGACTATCTCCATCAGGAGTCGAAATTTTAACCTTCTCTCTCCTGCCACATCACTTTATTCCCCCTCCACATAATTCAACAATCTTCATTTTCTATCATCTCTACAGCAGGAGTTTTTTCAAAAGATTTTTACTTTATTTGGGACCCACTATAACCCCATCACTCCAACATATATACCCCACCTTATTTATTCATTTCTTTTTCTTATTTCATATATATTACTACTACTACTATTATTATTACTAATATAACTCATTTATTTATAATTATAATTTTTTAATATTTACATAAATAATATATATTATTAATTTAATTTTTGATAATATTTTTGTATTAACAAAAAAACACACGATTTTATTAAGCATACGGAAAAGTCAAACACACACAAATTGATAATATGGTTTTTACAGCTTTTTGGCAAAGTTGTCAAAAATATCAGCTTTTTGGCAGCTTTCCCCCAAAATCACCTCTATAAAAGGTGATTTTGGGGGAAAGCTGCCAAAAAGCTGACATTTTTGACAGTTTTCCCTCATTTTACCTATCTAAAAAATCAATCCAAACAGCCCCTAAGTAAGGGCATAATGCCATTCTCCTTTTTCTTCTTTCTGCTTCTCCCCTCTTCTTCTAACTAGTATTAAGTCTGCGCGTTGCTGTGAGTATTATTACCGAGTTCTATACGTCACCAAATTGATAATATGGTTTTTACATATATTTATTTATAAAAACTTCAGAGAAATTTTTTTACTACTATTTATAGAGTGGATGTCCAAGCCAGTTAACAAAATAGTACACTAGTTATCAAGTTTTATCAATTGAAGAAATTTTCTAAATAAACTCATTCATATTTTTTTTCTAAAAATAGACCCATTGAGTTTTATTTACAAAAATAGACTCATTTTATCTTAATCCGGTTCCTAAATAGTCGGGGTTGCCAACCCCGACTATTTAGGAGGTTGTAAACCCATAATTATAACCCTAAACCCTATGCACTAAATAATCAGGGTTGGCAACCCTGACTATTTAGAAACCGGATTAAGACAAAATGGATCGATTTTTGTAAAAAAACTCAATGAAGTCTATTTTTAGAAAAAAAATTATGAATGGGTTTGTTTAGAAAATTTCTTCTTTATCAATTCTCTATAATAGAGCGAGAGAATATTTATGTTTTTAAAATATCTGATAAATGTTAAATTCATCATTTTCAAGAATAATAAAATAAACAATTTCTTTGAGGTTAAAAAATATTACTTCAGATTAAACAGTGGATAAATGGTCAAAATATTCACTGCAACATGATCAGTGTTTATGGAAAGAATCGTTGGAGTGTGAACAGTATGGCTAAGGCATTACTGTATAGTTTTAATATTCAAAATTATACTCTAACAAAAATAGTATTTACTGTAGCATGAATAGTAACTTTAAGCTTATGCTTTTAAGTTAGAAATAGTAGATCTCTCCTTCTTATTTTATCTCTCATCTTTAATGGTGGAAAAAAGAAAATTTCAATTAGCATCACTATTTTTTCATTGTGATTTTGGACTTCACCAATAACAAGTAAACTGTTTTGATGAGAGTCATAATCATTATGGTTGGAAGAATATATTTGATCAAAAAATAATGGATAAGGAGTTTATTGATGAATCCTAAAATTGGGTAAGTTATGAGATACTATCAAGAATTAAAGAATTACTTATAATAATGTCAAAATTTTCTAATCAATTGAGCTCTGAGGCACATATTTAAACATCTTAGCCAGTTTCATTGCATCTCAAAATGCAATTCTTCATGCCACAATTCCTAATTTTAATTTTAGTTGCAAAACCTAGAGCATGAGGAGGAAAAAACAAAGAAAGAGAAATTCAAATATATATTAAGTGTTCAACACAAGAACTAAGAAGCGGGCGGTAAACATCTCTTAGACATAAACTCCTTCTATCATCCAACCCCCCCCCCCCCCCCCCCCAAAAAAAAAAAAAAAAAAAAAAAAAACCCACCCAAAAAAAAAAACCCCCCTCCAAAAAAACCACCAAAAAAAAAAGAAAAAAAACACCTTCACAAATCCACTCCCACTAATTCAAACTCGCAATCTCAATCAAACATCTCGAATGCGGTAGCCCAACGAGCCTTCATTGTGTTCTCCAACATACCAAAAAGAAAAGTGTGTTTTGGCAATCAGTGACGTCGAGGTCATCTTCAACTGTGAGAAAAGACGTGGTCAGAGCCGCTATAGGAGAAACTGAAAAAAGTGTAGTAGCTAATAACCATCAAGAAAAGAACTTTGGAACTGGCAAGGGATTCTAGTGAGGTATTCAAGGAGCATGT